GGGGGGGGCGCCCCCCCCCCCGGCGGCGGCGGCTGGTGCGCGCGACCGCGAGCGGCGTGCGCAAGCGCCCACGGGCCGCGCAGCCGCCATTGCTCTTCCGCCGCCAATTGAAGCGGCTTGTTAAAAAGAAGGAAGGCTGAGAGCGACGCCTCGACGACAGCGGCCGGGGACTGCAGAAGCAGCACACTCGCGGGGAGTGTCCCCCTCAGACCTGGTTGACTGGAGTAAAGAACTACAACCCCCAAAGTGCACTGCGCCGCCGCACCGCGGGAGGCAGTGACGTAAGGGGCCTCGGCCGCTACCATTTCTCTAGTGGGGGGTGGGGGACGCGGTGGCGAGGGCTGATGACGCACTTTGCTTGAGGCTGGAGGGTCACCGGAGGTCAGCGCTAAGGGACTGGGCTCAGGTTCTCGAAGCGCCTTCGCGAACCTTTTTGTTTGACCAATTTAAACTGATGGTCTGTTATCCTCAACTACAGATACCTGCTGACTCTGTACCCGCTGTCTTTAGACCCCCGGGCCGGCCACTGAGCCAGCAGATACCATTATTAGGTCTTTATTTTGGAATAATTTCTAACAACTCCCATGTACCCTTTGATAAGATTCACCGGTTAACTTCTTTTGCCCCAGTTGCGTTATCATTTTCTCTATTCTCTCAGTGCCTGTTTAAACTGGGCCATTTGTGTTGGTTGCGGATATGATACCCCTTTACCGCTCTAATTAGAGGTACATCCGTATGTATTTTCTAAAAACAAGAGCATGCTCCTACATTCAAAATCAGGTAACATTGATCAAGACTATTTTCTAACGCATAGTCCATACTTAAATTTCCAGTTGTCCCAATACTGCCCTTTATGGAAATTACCTTTTTATTGGCCCAGGTTCCAGTCCAGGAACACAAGTTGCCTTTAGCTGTTTGGTCTCTGGTCTTCTCAGGTTTTCCTTGACTCTCATGCCAGATTCCTGGCCAGTTGTTTTGCAGAACCAGGTCTAGGGTTCTCTGACGTTTCTTCACCACTGGACTTTATTATGTGATGCTGACCAGATGCAATTATTCAGAGGCTAGGGTGTGTCTTGGGTGGGCAAGGAGGATCAATGTCCAGCCACACCAGCCTCTGGACACACTCTCAGGCCATACTGGGCCAGACCCTTCCTGTGGGCCCCTCTCCTGCTGGGGTTTCACTCTCATCTCACTGAGATCTCTGGCTTCCCTGTAGCACCCACGTTGGAGCCATGGTCCACGCCTTCCTTATCCACACTTTGAGGGCCCCACTTGCCCAGGACACGGGCCTTTGCCGAGTGCTCTACTCCTGCGTCTTTGGCGCTGAGAAGTCACCTGATGACCCGCGAGCACATGGTGCTGAGAGGGACAGACTTCTCCGCAAGGAGCAGATCTTGGCCGTGGCCAGGTAACCGCACGCCCAGCCCCAGGCGTTCGTTGTACACATGTCTGATTGTGATAGGTATTCTGGCAGGACTAAGAAGCAGAGAGAAAGTTTTAGAGTGACATTCCCAAAGAGTCTTCTACAGTTGCTCATAAGTGTTATGTGAAAAAGGGTTGAAGAATTAATAATGCTGTTATCATTATTATTACTGTAGTTAGCATTTACTGAACTTGTAAAATGTGCTAACCATTATGTTCATGTATATTAACTTCTGTAATCCTCATAATAGTCTTTTGTGATAGGTACAGTTATTATCCCCACCTTACTGATGAGTAAACTGAGTGTTTTAGGAACTTAACCTGCCCAAGATTATGCAGCTAGAAAGTGGCAGAACTGAGATTTGAGTGTAGGCAGGCAGACCCGGTGTAGATTAAACATGCTTTTTTGTACTGCAGTGTTTCTCAGGACCTGTAGTGTGCCTGTAGACTTTATGAATCTCTAAGGAAAAGAGAGAATGTGGTACATGGGGACTCCTTATACCCAGGGCTTCCTGAAAGCCTGGGATCCAGAACACACTTTGGAAAACACTGTTCCAGACTGGGGTGGCTGGTCTTGGACCTTCCCATCCCAGATTCAGATGGAGCTGGCAGGTGCCAGAGTCTCCCAGGACACTGTGCCTCCTGTGTGTGGGTTACTGCTCTGAGGCCACGCTTTGCCAGGTCCTGCCATCTTCTTGTTCTTCTTGACTTCCTTCCTGTCCCTGTAGCGTAGAAAACCAAACAAATGCATTTAAAACCAGCCTGTGCATGGCCCAAACTGGAGGACAATTCAGGAAGGATCAGAGGGAGCTTTCAAAAACCTTGATGGTCACCTGGAAGGTCTTTCTTTTTTACTTGGAGCTGGCTGCAGGGGGTGATGAGGATGGAGAGGTTGGTCAGCCCGGGTTGGGTGATGGCATTTATTCTCCTCATTTATTGCTTACTTTCCTTGTGTTGTGGAGGCCGCTGTGAAGCGGGCGGGGGCAGGATCTTCTCCTGGTGCCCTTTTCCAGCTGTAGGAACTTTGTTCACAACCTGCCTTCTCTTGGCCGCATGGAATAAAGTGGTTCAGGGCCTGGAGGTTGGGGCCTGGATTCCCATCCAGGCTCACACTTCCTGGCTGTGTGGCCCTGGCAGATCACTTAGTCTCTCTGGGCCTTAGTTTCCTTACCTGAGATAAAGGGGTAACAGCAACTCCCAGCTCCAGGGGTGGCTATGAGGATGACAGAAGTTGGTGTGTGGGCTGCTGTGGTGCCCTGGCCAGGCCTGTCACCTGTCAGCCTGACTTGCCTGCTCTCCCCAGGCAGGTGGAGTCAATGTGCCAGTTGCAGCAGCAGGCATCCGGCCGGCCTCCCATGGATCTGCAGCCCCAGTCCTCAGATGAGCCAGTGCCTCTGCAGGAAGCCTCATGTGGGGCCTTCCGCCTGGCAGCAGGGGACCCTTTCCGGGAGGCACGGACGGTGGTGTGGCTGGGCGTGCTCTCCTTAGGCTTTGCCCTAGTGCTGGATGCCCATGAGAACCTGCTGCTGGCTGAGAGCACACTCCGGCTGCTGGCACGCCTCCTCCTTGACCACCTCCGGCTGCTGGCCCTTGGTGCCAGCCTCCTGCTGCGTGCTGACCGCATCGAGGGCATCCTTACCCGCTTCCTGCCCCATGGTCAGCTGCTCTTCCTCAATGACCAGTTCGTCCAGGCTCTGGAGAAGGAGTTCAGTGCTGCCTGGCCCCGCTGAGCCCTGGCTGGGATGGGGCCTCCTGAGAGGGTGAGGAGGGAGGGTGGAGGTTGGATACACAGCCAGGTGAAGCTCGGCATCTGCCTCCCACCTGGCCTGCTCCGAGCTCTGATGTGTTGCCACACTCAGGACAAGTGGGTGGGACAAGCTGGCAGAAGCAGGGCTGGCAGAGGGTGGAGGGGCTGCTGCACTTGTCCTCAGGTTAGTGGAATCGCAGAAGCCCCTGAGCCTAGAGCATTCAGACTGCTGACAGCAGTGCGTTGGCCGCACTTGTCCTCGACCCCACCTTCCTCCGTTCCACCAGCCACCAGTGCTGGGGCAGGGAGGAGGGGTTGCCTGAAACTTAGCCTTCTGTAAAAATGAAAATTTAAAAAATTAAAAATAATTTAAAAACTGCTGTAAACATTCATGTGCAGGTTTTTGTGTGGATATAAATTTTCAATTCCTTTGGGAAAATACCAAGGAGTGCAATTGCTGGATCCTATAGTAAGAGTGTGTTTAGTTTTGTAAGAAATTGCCAAATGGTATTCCAAAGTGGCTATACCGGGCCGGCCCTGTGGCTCACTCGGGAGAGTGCGGTGCTGATAACACCAAGGCCAAGGGTTCGGATCCCACATAGGCCCTGCTCCCAAATGTAAATACATGAACATGGACAAACTTGGATTTTCAGACAACCCTGACTCACTACATTCCTTTTTCTGAGATTTGAATGATAATAAATTTGTGCAGATTAAAAAAAAAAATAAAAAGATAAAAAAAAAAAAAAAAAAAAAAAAAAAAAAAAAAAAAAAAAAGTGGCTATACCATTTTGTATTCCCATCAGCAACAAATGAGAGTTCCCATTGTTCCACGTCCTCGCCAGTATTTGGTGGTGTTAGTGTTTCGGATTTTGGTTATTCTAATAAGCATGCGGTAGTATCTCATTTTAATTTGCAATTCTCTAATGATATGAATGTTGAACATCTTTTCACATGCTCACTTGCCATCTATATATCTTTTCTGGTGAGGTGTCTGTTCAGGTCTTTTTTGACCATTTCTAAATTGAGTTGGTTTCTTCCTTATTATTGAGTTTAAAGAGTTCTTTGTGTATTTTGGATAACAGTCCTCTTTTTAAAAATTTAATTTAATTTTAATTTATCAATATACAGTGTAGTTGATTTTCGTGTCCCTTTACTGATTCTTCTTTCCCGCCCTCCCACTCCCCCTTCCCCCCATCAACATCATATCTGTTCACTTGTCTTAAAAAATTCAAGGAATTGTTGTGATCGTTGTGTCTTCTTCCCTCCCCACCCCCATTTATTTGTTTGTATATTTATTTATTTATTTATTTTTAGCTCCCACAAATAAGTGAGAACATGCAGTATTTCTCTTTCTGTGCCTGGCTTATTTCACTTAATATAATTTTCTCTAAGTCCATCCATGTTGCTGTAAATGGTAGTATTTCATTAGTTTTTATAGCAGAGTAGTATTCCATTGTGTAGATATACCACAGTTTCCTTATCCACTCATCTGATGATCGGCATTTGGGCTGGTTCCAACTCTTGGCTCTTGTAGATAGTGCTGCAATAAACATAGGAGTACAGGTATCCCTTCAAAATGATTTAATTCTTCTGGGTATATACCCAGCAGTGGAATAGCTGTGCCATATGGCAGATCTATCTGTAATTATTTGAGGAACCTTCATACCATTTTCCATAGAGGCTGCACCATTTTGCAGTCCCACCAACAGTGCAGGAGGGTTCCTTTTTCTCCGCAACCTCGCCAGCATTCATCATGCTTAGTCTTTTGGATATTAGCCATCCTAACTGAAGTGAGATGATATCTCTAAGTGGTTTTGATTTGCATTTCCCAAATGCTGAGTGATGTTGAGGATTTTATCATGTGTCTGTTGGCCATTCATATATTTTCCTTTGAGAAATGCCTATTCAGCTCCTTCGCCCATTTTTTAGTTGGGTTACTTGTTTTTGTTTTTGTTTTTTTGCTGTAAAGTTGTTTGAGTTCCTTGTATATTCTGGATATTAATCCTTTGTCAGATGTATATTTTGCAAATATTTTCTCCCACTCTGTTGTTTGTCTTTTCACCCTGCTAATTCTTTTGCTGTGCAGAAACTTTTTAGTTTGATATAATCCCATTTGTTTATTTTTCCTTTGGTTGCCTGTGCTTTTGGAGTCATATTTATAAAGTCTGTACCCAATTGGATAATAGTCCTTTATCTAATGTGTCTTTTGCAGTTATTTTCTTCCAGTCTGTGGCTGTGCTGTTATTCTCTTGACATTGTCCTTCTTAGAGCAGAATTTACTAATTTTAATAAAGTCCAGCTTATCAGTTATTTCTTTCCTGGATTGTGCCTTTGGTGCTGTATCTAAAAAGTCATCTCCATACCCAAGGTCATCTATTTCGAGTTAATTTTTGTAAGGTTTGTGTCTAGATTATTATTATTATTATTATTATTTTTTTTTATTTTTAAAGATGACCGGTAAGGGGATCTTCACCCTTGACTTGGTGTTGTCAGCACCACGCTCAGCCAGTGAGTGAACCGGCCATTCCTATGTGGGATCCGAACCCGGGGCCTTGGTGTTATCAGTACCGCACTCTCCCGAGTGAGCCATGGGCCGGCCCTAGATTCTTTTTTTTGTATGTGGATGGCTAGTTGTTCTGGCACCATTTGTTGAAAAGACTGTTTGCTCCTTTGTCAAAGACCAGGGCTGGCTGATTAGCTCTGCTGGTTAGAATGCAGTGTTGTAACACCAAGGTCAAGGGTTTGGATCCCCTTAACAGCCAGCTGCCAAAAAAAAAAAAAATCAGTCGACTATATTAATGTTGTTCTATTCTGGGTTCTCTATATTCTGTTCCATCAATCTATTTGTTTATTCTCTTGTCAATACTGCATTGTCTTGGTTATTGGAGCTTTGTAGTAAGTCTTGAAGTCAGGTTGTGTCAGTCCTCTGACTTTGTTCCTCTCCTTCAATATTGAGTTAGCTATTCTGGGTCTTTTGCCTCTCCATGGAAATTTTAGAATCAGTTTGTTGATATCCACAAAATACCTTGCTGGGATTTTTATTAGGATTGCATTGAATCTATAGATCAAGTTGGGAAAAATTAATACCTTGACAATGTTGAGTCTTCCTGTGGGGAAAATAGGATAATTTAGTCAGGCTCCCTTGGCTCAGGTCTGGTTGGGGGGCGAGCAGCACATTCTTAATTCTTTGTAAACAAGTTGTGTGGGCGGAGTTAGTGCACATGTACACCAATGTATCTGTTTAGTTTTGTTGCTATTGTGTGCTCTGCAGTTTGTGAAGTAGAAGCTGGCCTGCTGAGCTCACGTCTAAAAATAGAGCATGTTTACTCTGCTGGCAGCTGCTGAGTTTCTCTTTGGACTTTGCCAGTAGCAGTTGAGTTTCTGAGTTTCTCTTTGGACTGCCTAGGTATTAGACTTGTGTGTGCTGAATAAAAACTATTCATTCTTCAACCAAGGCTCCAAGGACCTTTTTGCTGGTTACCCAGCTCATAGACCTGTGTGTGAAGGGTCTGTGAATGGGCTCGAGGGGTCTGTGAGCTCCAGACCCTAGCCCTAGCTCTACACATTAAAAAGAAGTATCTCAGGGCCAGTCCATGGCTTACTTGGGAGAGTGTGGTGCTGATAACACCAAGGCCACGGGTTCAGATCCCTATAAAGGGATGGCCGGTTAGCGCACTTGGGAGAGCGTGGTGCTGACAACACCAAGTCAAGGGTTAAGATCCCCTTACTGGTCATCTTTAAAAAAAAAAAAAGAATTTTATAGTTTTTCTCATATAAATCTTGTACATATTTTGTTAAATTTATACCTAAGTATTTCATTTATTTGGGTGCTAATGCAAATGGTAATGTGATTTTTTTTTTTTTAAGATGACTGGTAAGGGGATCTTAACCCTTGACTTGGTGTTGTCAGCACCACGCTCACCCAGTGAGCTAACCGGCCATCCCTATATGGGATCCGAACCCGGGGCCTTAGTGTTTTCAGCACCGCACTCTACCGAGTGAGCCACGGGCCGGCCCCTGGTAATGTGGTTTTAATTTCAAATTCCACTTGCTTATTGCTGGTATATAGGAAAACAATTGACTTTTCTGTATTAACCTTGTATCTTGAAACCATGCTATAGTTCCTTATTAGTTCCAGGAGTTGTTGGGGTTTTTTTTTTTGTTTGTTTGTTAGTTTGTTTTTGGCTTTTTTTGTTTTTGTTTTGTTTGTTGATTCTTTAAGATTTTCTACATTAGCTAGTACTTCTGGTACAATGTTGAAAAGGAGTTGTAAGAGGGGACATTCTTGCCTTGTTCCATCTTAGTGGGAAAGCTTCTAGTTTCTCACCATTGACTATGTTTGCTGTAGATTTTTTGCAGATGTTCTTAATCAAGTTGTGGAAGTCCCCTTCTATTTTTAGCTTGCTGAGGGTTCTTATTGAAAATGGTTGTTGGATTTTGTCACATGTTTTTTTCTGCATCTATTGATATGATCATGTGATTTTACCTCATTAACCTGTTGATATGATGGATTACATTAGTCAATGTTCAAATGTTGAACCAGCCTTACGTACCTGGGATAGATCCCACTTGGTCATTGTTGGATTTGATTTGCTACTCTTTTGTTGAAGATTTTTGTATCTATCTTCATGAGAGATAATGAATGATCTGTGGTTTTCTTTTCTCATAAGGTTGTCATCTGGTTTTGGTATTAGGGTAATACTAGCCTCATAGAATGAGTTAGGAAGTATTCCCTCTGTTTCAATCTTCGGGAAGGGATTGTAGAGAATTGGTATTAATTTCTTCTTAAATGTTTGGAGGAATTAACCAATGAACCCATCTAAGCCAGCCTTGTGTCTTAAAAGTGCTTGTTTTTAAGTTAAATTTTATTTTCCAAATAGGTAATATAGTCACATGGTTTAGAAAACAAAATAGTAAAAATTTTCATTGAAAAACTTGCACCTCTATCTTCCCTATTTCCCCCACATCCCCCATGAATAATAGCTTTCTAGGTTTCGTACCTATTCTTCCAGTCTCCCTTTATACGAATACAAGCAAATACAAATATGTGTTCTTATTCTACTTCCTGCTCACACCGATTTCTTACATAATAGGCAGCATATTAAATAAAGGATTCTGCACATGCTTTTCTCACTCACCGGTGTATCCTGGAGTTCTTTTCATAGCACTACAGAGATAGCACCCTTATTCTCTTTTATTCTTACTTATTGCGTGGATAGATTATAGTTCACTTATCAAACCTAAAAATTACTGTGAACTATTTCTTTTTTTTTTTTTCCTTTTTGTCTTTTTTACTGACCGGTAACGGGATCGCAACCCTCGGTGTCGCGCCCGTACTGGGGACTGGCAACGGGATCGCAAAC